CACAGAATTATGCAGAGGCAGAGGCTTTAATGTGCATGTGGCTGTCCAGTGTTAATGTTCTATTAATAAAATGCCTTTCCCATGCTAATGTCTCATGAACATTTAAAGCACCAGCTTATTACTTACAGGTCTTCAAATATGCAGACCAGCTTCTCCAGAAGTCTTGGAAAGACATCAGTCTTGCTTCCCAAAGGGTGGTCTGTGACCCATGTTGTATGTGTGTGTGTGTGTGTGAGACAGCGGGGAGAGATGATGCAGGCACAGGTGTAAAGATGGGGCACAGATTTACCATTTTAAGTCCAAGAGTTGATAGCAAATGTCCTTGACTACACCCTGGAACTGAGTCAAGGAGCTGGGAGGGCAGCCTGGCACCAGGGAGCCATGTGGTCTCTGGTGCCCACAGTCCAGGGTTCAAATCCCCTGGCTTTTCCACATCCAGACCACGTGGCCTTGGCACGTCACTTTGCCTTGGTTCTTCCTTGTAGTGTGAAGAACAAAGAACACTCTCAGGGGTCTTGAGATAGTGTTTGTGAAGTGACTATCGAAGCGCTGAGCCCCAGAGGCCAGAGGAGGAGCTGGGTCTATGGCTACTCGTGTTACTGGTCTTGTTTTCCCCCTAGAATTTAGTTTCCTTGGAGAGTCTCATTGTCAAGCAGACCTGAGACACTGGTTTCTCCTCTGGTTCAAAGAATGCCTTAGAGTTCTGGCAAGTGTACCCCCTTTTTCCTCCTAGGGACCAGGACTGCCAGGCTGCTGAGTGAGGGTGCGAGATCCCTGTGGGTGAAGGGTGAGGGGCAGGCTTCCTGGCCTGTCAGCCCTCTGCAGTGACAGCCAGCACAGAGACCTGCCCAGATCAGAGGGCTTTGAGCCAAGAGAGAGGAGATGGCTCCCCGGAGGAGTGCCCCCAACAGATACAGAGCAAAGGGTTGCAGCGGTGGGGCCAGGCCTGTCGGACTTGGGATGGGGTGACTGCAGGTATCTGCTGTGTCACCCTGAGTCAGAAAAATACGCACCTCTGGGCTTTGCTTCTGCCGTGGTAGCAGGCCACCTCCATCAGCATTTGACACCTCCCAGGCCTGCCAGGCTCTGCCCAAACCCCCGCTCCCTGCTCACCAGGAACTCCCAGCTCCCAGCATGTCTCTGAACCACCTGCCTCAGAGTCACCTGAAATGCTTGAGAAAGCAGACTCCTGCTGCCACCTCCCCCTCCCCCCTCCCCCCTCCCCCCCCCCCCCTCAACCCCACCCGTCACCCATCCTGTGGGCTCTCAGCCCAGGGGATTCTCGGGGGAGCCCTGTCAGGGCTGTCTGGGCCAGGGATGTGTGCATTTTGGGCACAGAAGCATAAATCTTTTCCTCTGAACGGAGCCCGATGGCAGAGGTTTTCCCGGTCCACACCTCGGGCGGCATGTGGAAAGTCACCTTGGTGCTTAAAGGAAGGTGCGGGTCAGGGGTCAGCGAGCGCAGCTTGTGGGAAAGACTCTGCTTCCCAAAGGGCGGGGCGGGAGGTGACGCCCCGCCCGGGGGGCTGCTGACCTCTGCAAACCTCAGGGTCGTCCCTCGGCGCCCATGGGCTCCAGGACCTCCGAGGGGCTTGGCGCCACGTTGACGATGTGACCAGGGGCCCATGAACCCCCCAATCCTGCCTGACCCCCCCGCATCCCCACGGGGTTGCTCAGTGGACGTGGATGCATTTCCCAGCACTGCCACCGTCACGCGCTATCACTAACTGAGTGGCTTAAACAATAGAAACGTCCAGTCTCAGTTCCGGAGGGTGGAAGTGGGAGATCCAGGTGTCGGAGGGGCGGGTGGGTCCTTCTGAGGCTGCGAGGGAGCTCCTGGTGGTTTACTTGCAACCTGTGGTGTTTCTTGGCTTGTATAAGCGTCACCCCGTCTCTGCCTTCATCTTCTAGTGGCATTCTCTCTGCGTGTGTCTGTGTCTGAATTCCCGCCTTTATAAGGACGCAGTTATATTGGACTGGGGCCCACCCTTCCCCAGTAGGACCTCACCTTAACTAATTTGCACCCGCAACAACCCTATTTCCGAATAAGGTCACATTCGGAGGTGCTGCGGGTTAGGACCTCAACATATGAATCTGAGGAGACACAATTCAACCCACAACAGGGGGCTGTAGCAAAAGGAAACAAAGTCTCATTTAATTAACACCTGAGCCCAATAGCCCCTAAATGCAGGGCTCTCGGGCCAGACCTGGGGGCGGGGGCAGGAGAGGGGGCTTCAGTGACCCACCCAGTGCAGCAGCAGGGAAGGAAGAGGAGAGCGTGGTGGCACCTTTTAGCACCACAGGGATCCAGCTCGTGGGGAAAACGTGACTGATCAGGGTAATAATGTCCCTCCCCCAGAGGGAAGGGCGTTTGGAGGAGGTGAGCAGAGCCAGACTGGCGTGAGAAACGGGCTGGCGTGCTCCCTTTCTGAAAGGTCATCTGGAGGGGACCACGTGGTCATTCCCTGCCCACATCTAGAATTGGAAAGAAGCAGTTGTAGCAGTATGGAAGCCCCTCCCCTTCCCAGTCCCCAAGTGGGGACCAGGAACTGTCAGAGCTGGAAGGGAGCAAAGCCAGCCAGGGCAGGCTCATGGCAGCGGGCAGGGGTCCACGTGCACAGGAAAATCAGAAAGCAGGTCGGCCAGCCACATCTGGTCAGAGTGGGCATCCCAGCTTCAGCCTGGCCCAATGGCCACATGAGAGCAGCGCCCAGGCCTGGATTGAGCCAAAGCATCTCTGTGCCTGGGGGCCTTAAGGAAGCCAGATGCTGGCTTTTCAAGCAGAAGTCATGTGCCCAGCAGACAGGGGCAAGTGACAAAAGTGCTGCATAGCCCATAATAACTTCACGGAACAGAGGTCCCCAGAGCTGGAGAGGAACCCAGAATTCATCCTGTCCAGTCTGCAATGCTGAGACTTGAACTCCAAGTGTAGCGCCAAGTCAGAACATGCAACCAGCTTTCCCATGTAGGAGACGCTGGCTTGCTGCTCGGTCTCCCTGAGCCTTGATTTCCTCATCTGTAAAATGGGACTAGTGATACCCATTCTGAAGAGGATAATTGTCAGATTGGAGACTCTGCACATCAAGGAGCTGGCCCAAAGGAGATACTCAACTGGGAATTATTATTACTGAGCCAGGCAGGTTCAGAATTTACATAAAATCTTTGAGAAGCAAATGCAATAGATTTTACCTCTTAATGACCTAAATGGTAAAATTTTAAATAGTCCCAAATAATTTTATTCTGTGAAATCTACAGAACCTGCAAATAATAATTTGGATCTTGCTGGATGGTTTGATGATATTTGGCTCTTAGTAAATCCTCTTGGGAGAGCCCAAATGCTCAGACTGAATTTAGCAATGCTGGGAAGACTAGACATTTTGGAAGGGCAGTTTGGCATTGCGTAGCAACAATGTGTTGGCATTCAGCTATTTCATTGTTATTATTAGGTATGAATTCTAAACTCGGGGTTTTTGTTCCCTTAAATTCATCACTTCCCAAAATAGATTTCTTAAAAGTACAGATTTCCCAAATTCCACCAGCTCCACTTCCCCATTCGAGCTCCTACGGACAGGAACAGAAACGTGGCCACCTTTTCCCACAGGATCAGAGGGCAAGGGCAGATAACGGTACTGGAAACAAGATGCCAAATGGAGGACCTCATAATGGACCCATTAAGGATCTATTTGAACAGCGGGGCTTGCCAGTGGAGGAGCTCACCCCACCAGCTTCCTCCCCTTTCCCTTCACAGGCTCGTCCTCACAACCTCAGCCCAAAGAAGCTTCAGAAACATCACTAAAGTTGGCAGCGCAGTTACAGCCCAAGCTCAATCCTTCTTGAACCTGGTTCTCACCTGGGCAGCCCGCAGGGCTGAGAGCCACCTTTGCCTTCCATCTTGCAGATCCCAGTCTGAGCACAGAGGCTGGAACGTCCTCAGCCAGTGACTTGCTGTGTGATGCTGGGCACCCCCTTCCCCTCTCTGGGCCTCAGTCTCCTTACCTGACAGTGAGTAAGGAGAGGAAAATTCATCATCTCTAAGCTCTCCCCCAGTTCTGTGGCCTTTTCTATCCTATATTAATGCTGGCAACATCCAAATATGGCCAGGGATGCTGGACACACTCGGGACAGGAGGAAAAACGGCCTGATTTGGGGCGGGGGGAGAATTCCACTTATAGCCAAAGGAAGGCTTTTATTACCTTGTAGCCTGGTGTTAGCACCACTGAGTGGAGTTGTTCGCTGGGTACCAGGAGGGCCCCTTTGACACGTGAGCTGCATCTTCCCTCACCGCCTCCCAAAGGATGAGGGTCTCTGCAGGGTACCCTGACTGCTGCTCTTGCCAGGCGCCACCAGAATCCCGACTCTGGGAAGAAGCCTTCACCACCAGCAGATTCCTTCCTGATGCAAGACACACTTCGAGCTTTGCTGAATATTTGCAAAATGATTCTCAGCCCTTCCTCCCAGGCAACCTCCCATGGAAGGCAGAGCTAGGATCTGAAGCAAAGAATTAGTCTTTTGTAGTTGCAATGATCATAGACATGGTCGAATACAACTCTTTATTTTTTATATGAAACATCCAGGCCCCAGGAAGGGAAATGATTTCCCCAGGGTCACAGAGCAGGCCAGCAAGCAGAGTTGGAGCCAATGGCCAGGACCAAATTAGCTAGTAGCATTCCTTAGGTCAGCTTGGGTTCCAGAGTCAGACAAACCTGGGTTCCAATCGCGTCTTTGCAGTTTACTAGCGCATCACTTAGCCTCCTGGGATATCTATTTCCTCACATGTAAAATGGACACAGTCGTGTCTCCCAAGGGTCCATGAAACAACGTGTAACGTGCATTGTTAGCATAGTACCTGGAATAAAGGAAGTGCCAGGTGAGTGTCCACCGTTGTTCTGGGTGTAAATTGCTGTCGTCATTGGCACTGGAGGAGGCAGCCTCAGAGAAACGGCAGTGTGGCCAGGGAGCGGGGGTCAGCCGTGCGCTCCTAACGGGGTCTCTCTCCGCAGGCTGCTGGAGCTGTCCTCCGCGGTGCCCATCAGCTCCCACTGGGGGGTGCTGTCCAAGTGCTTGGCCTACAGCAAGGCCGCGTCCGACCCCTTCGTGTACTCCTTGCTGCGACACCAGTACCGCCAGAGCTGCAAAGAGATTCTGAACAGGGTCCTCCACAGGCGTTCCCTCCGCTCCTCCGGCCTCTCGGGCGACTCCCACAGCCAGAACATCCTGCCGGTCTCCGAGTGAAGGCCGCTGCTCCTGCTGGAGGGCTCCGAAGGAGGCGGCTGGTGAGAAGGGGAGGGAGGGCTTGGGGTGCCTGGGCGGGGACCACCGGCCGCCACTCACCTGGCAAGCCCAGGGATTCCGGTTCCCTGGCTTGGAGGGGCTCTGAAGCCTGCTTCCTGCTTCCTCAAGGGCAGGAGTTGGACTGTCCCTATTTATCACCAAAGGATGACCGACGGACATGCTGTGTTCTGGCCTTTCTTTCTGAGAAGCTCCTTCAAGTTCATAGACTCACCAGAGGCTCCCCAGGCGCCACACCCAGTCCTGTCACGATCAAGGACACACAGCACTGGTGGCAGGTGGGGAAGCATGGTGTCCACTTGCTTACTAACCCCTAGACGCTGGGCTCCATGCTGAAGGAAAGTGGTCACCTCCATGGGACATGAGTCACGCTGAGAATGAGGCTGGCAGTGGCCACCTGGCCCCCATCGAGCACGGCCACTCTTCACACGTAGTGGTGGCTGCTTTAACCCTAATATTACTCAGCTGGTACTAACTAAACTGTGCTCAGCTGGGACTCTTGGGCCCCCGTGCCCAAGGGGAAGACAGCCAGTGGTTACCCAACTGTTGGCTGGCAAGTTGTCTTAGAAGTGGTTATACTGGATTCAACTTTTTAAACCTCTCTTCCCCCACCTCCCCGTCAAAGCTAACGTTTGTGTGTGTAGACATTCTTAGCATGAAAATGGTTTAAATAGGCAGGTCCTACATATAATAATGTTCTTTGAAGTCTGACCCTGAAGTCAACATCTTCTGATTCACACGTCGTAACTGTTGGAGCCAAGCAGAGGCAGGAGGGGAGTGACTGGCAGGTCCCCCGACCCCAGTTTGTGACCTGAATTTGCAGGAAGCCTTTCACCTTGTGTCGTGCATCTTGCCGGGCATGTCCGCTGAGGTGACTGGACAAGAGCTGACCTGAGCAGGGTTTTTGCTTTGATTTTAAGGCACAGGATTCCATTATCCTAATGGTTCAGTATCCTTGTTTCTGTAAGTCATCAACAGAAAGTAGAGGCTTCCCAAGGCGATCCAGGAAGTGCCCTGCGCCCGTGACGGGGGAGTGAAATTTTTATTGAAAACCATAACTCTTAACACATATGTCAATCCGCTAGCAGCCACCATCCTGATTTCATTAAAAACCCAGGTGAGTGGACCATGCTTTCTGCCCATCCGTCTCTGTTTACCATTTCAAATGATGCGTGAATGCTGAGAGCAGTTATTTCTCCATCCTCCACCATAAGTGATTCCTCCAGGGTGGGAAGGATGGGAGCGACAGATCCAGGGGGCTCCTTATCTCCTTCCAGCCCTGCACATCCTCACTTTGGAGATGTGGAAGGGAGGACACAGCTCAACAGGGACCAACCAGGAAGAGCCTATTGCCTTTCAGTGCCAGTGCCCAGTTTTGAAAAACAGAGGAGCGTGTGCATGTTTGAAAAGATGTTGTCTTATCACCCTTAGTTCCTCATTTAGAAAACGAATAACTGAGCCTGGCTGACTCCTGTCTAGTTTCTAAGTTTCCATGGAGACAGACACAGCTTCCAAGACCTTGACACCTTCCCTTTGCAGTTGGAGGTGTGCTCACACCTGCTTGGAGGAGCCAATGGTGCACGTCCCTTCCCAGCTCCACGCTCTGGAACATCACGTCAGTAGCTTGAAATCAGCCTTGATAGGCATATTTATACCAAGAAAGTCAGTAAAGGCTATGAATCTGGCCTTTTTCTCCACTGAGAGCTGGCTGTTATACATCCATCAGCACATCACTGCCCAGACGTGACTGTGTGTGTTACTGAAACAAAATGGCTCTGATTCACAGTGCATTTGACCGCTCAAGTTCAACTCACAACAGACATTTGTTTTTGTGGCACTTTCCTCGAGACAAGCAGCTGTTCACCCTCCACTGTCCCAGCCTCAAAAATACCAGTGAGGTCGGGGACAAGCACAGAGCCAGGAAAACGCGCCGCCCGGGATCTGACAATCTAACCCTTTCACACAAATACTCTTTGGGAAGCAGACGAGTAGTGACCCAGGGGATGAGGTCAACAGACAGTCAAATTCAAGCAACAAAGTGTGTTTTCATCAATGTCAGATTAGAGGAATAACTGTCCAATCCTCTTCCTGCTCACACTGTGTAGGCAGCATTTGTACCCCCAAAGGCAACCAGATCTCTTTTACCTCTTCTTTAACTAAGAAACAAGACCTGCCACCCACAAGTGCTACATAGCTTTTTTTTTCATTGACATATAGTTGATTTACAATGTTTCAGGTGTACAGAAGTGATTCAGTCATACATATACATATATATTATTTATATATATATATATATAATTTTTCAAATTCTTTGCCACATACCTTGAAAAAGATGCATAATTTACACTAAATCTCCAGGATGGCCCCAAACCCAATAAAACCAGTTGTGCTGACATCATGGAGACAAAAGCCTGGATATGCCAGTTGATTGGGTATTTTCATTTTATTTAGACGCAGGCATTAGAACCCAAGGAGAAGTGAGAAGCAGATCACAGCATTCGTGATCCGCATCAACCAACTCAGCTAGAATTACCTTTAGGTAAATGTTTATATTTATCTACATACAGTCTGTAACATTTCCCCCGGCTTCATTATCCCCGGAGAATATCTACCTCATTTGGTAATTTATCAGGCGGAACGTGGCTATCTCAGGTAAAACACTTAGAAGTGTCAAGGCTGGCCTCTATGCCAAGGGCCTGGGATGACTCACGTGACTTCAGTCTAGCGTGAGGCTGGAAGCCGAAGGCGCAAACTCTGGTGGACAGCTGGACGCGGCGTGAAGGCACTTTAAGAAGCTCGAAAATAAAGCCTGGGTTGGAGAGGCTCTCCGATTCCAAACCCCCCACACAGAGCTCAGATTCTCTCCCTGCTCGATCAGCACTTGTAGGTTTAAACCCAGCCCGTGACGCCTGTTTTCAGTCACTCTGCAACTCCAGCTTCTCTTTCTGCTGCTTCTTGAAGAGGGGATTTCCGAGCGGCGGGACCCACTAAGGGAAGAGAGTCACGGCATCTGGGGTTTGTGCGTCTCATGGTCAGCTGACCTCCCAAAGATGTGTCACTAAAGATGTTACGCCTGTTTTTACTTAGAAGTCGGTGGGGGGAGGAGGGGAAGTGGCCTTGAGTCATCTCATACCAACTGTCCATTCCTTCTAGGACTCAGCTCAGTCTCCTGTCACCACGAGCAATAAACCTCTCTCCTCATGATTGTGAAACTAGTTTTCTTTCTCATGACGCCTTTCTTTCTGAGAGAAGATGGAAAGAGCGGGCCACGTCCATCTCCGGGGCGCTAGCCTTGTTACATACTTGGGTTCAGGTGGACAGTGCCTTCACAGGGTTGCAGTGTAATCCTTGGGGGGACCATGGGCTGTACATTTTTAGAATTTACCCCAATTCAGGATAAACTAACTTGCCTACGATTTTAATGAGGATATTTCATCAGATGCCTGAAATTCCTTGTATCAGCTCACATCCTTTGGACTGTGTGCACCACGGGGAAGAAAGAGGTCCTGGATATGTTTGGGGCTCCCACAACCTTTGTGGAAGGTCTAAGGCATCTGGAATGATGCCATTGGCTCTTGAACTTTACTATCCACAAGGATCACCAAGAGAGGTTGTTTAAAATGCAGATTCCTGTGCCCCTTCCTCAGAGATCACTTTAAGGAGGTCCGGGCAAGACGTGGGGTTCTGCATTTTCAAACGTCAGTGCCCAGGTGACTGCTGTCAGTGGACTTCAAAGTACTCCCTGAGGAAGGAAATCTTAGACACTTGGATAAACTCTATGGAAAACTGGGTCCTTCTAAATACCTAAGTTTCAACTGTCTGACATCATTTCCTGAGATCCAAACAGTTCTATCTCCAGCCTTATTCAAGGCTGAGTCATTTTGTTCTCAGAGGGACAACACTGATCACGCCATGAAAACTGTTATAAACCTGTTTCCACAAGACTCTGGTGGAACAGCAGAAGCTGCCCCCACCCCTCCATCACCTCTCAAGGCATTTGCAAAGCAGCCTCCTTTGTCTCCGTGGAGCTCCCAGGTGGAACACCAGATGTGCTGGGGTGTTGGCGGAGGGGCACCACTGGCTCGCTCAGACACTTTGTTAGAGAAGAGGGACCAGCATCAGAAGGCCCCAGAGATGCTTGCTTGGGTCTCAGCGCAAACTCTGCCTGGGCGGCCTGACTTAGGGGGATGACAGCGTCTAGCCCCTCTGCCACCGAACCAGAGCCCACCCCACTCCCTTCCCACCCAGCCTCAGATACGGGGAGCTGAGCCAGGCTGGGGTGGGGCCAGAGAGAGCCGATGCTGGATGCCGGCCCTTGGATGTGAATTTTCTGTTGGTTCCCCACCTCATCCAGCATGGCCAACCCCGCCAGGTCCCCCAGGAGCAGTTTGTAAAAATGACAATGGTCTCAACAGCTGGTGTGTTATGCATGAAGCCTAGACACCAGGCACCATGCTGAGTGTTTTGCGATAGTGTTTCCATAAATCCCCACAATAAGATCACTGTCTCCTTTTTACAGATATGGGAGGATCTGTAAGTCCTCGGGCAGAAGGGGGGGAAGTTTGAGGGCCCGCACAGAACAGGGCAGTGGTCTCCAGAAAGGCAGGTTAGTACCGATGGGAAGCCCCCAGCTGCACCCAACTCTGGGCAGTTCAAGGAGCCCCTTGCTCGCAGCTCCTGAGCCAACACACACGCCCACCAGGGGGGCCTTGGGCCTCTCCCATCACGACCACTGCTGACTGGGAGAGGACCCTTCTGGCCTTGTCCTTCTCTGTATGTGCTTCTTGGGGAATTCAGCAACCTCTGTACAGAATTTATGGTTCACGAGTCCTTTTCACCTACAGGGAATCTTCCTGACTAAAGGAGTTATAGGTGCCTGCGGGCTCATTGTCTGCAGAATTTTCCCGAAACTCTGGGCCATGAGCCATTATGAGCATCAGTCCAACACTGCAGTGCCTGACCCTGATGCCAGGAGGGTTAACAGGGAGGACCGTGTGCTGAGCTGGCGGCTGGGGGAAGAGGGTGGATGGGGCTGGCCTCCGTGGTTTGCTCTTAGAGGTTCAGAGGAGAAAATCGGCTGACAGCAGTGTGGCTTGTAAGTTCCCAGCAGGCTCCCACTTTCTTTCCAAGACCAAGGGGGCTTTTAGCCCACAACGTGCTGGCCTGAGCCCTGGCCAGCTGCCTTCACTCTGCTGGTGGCCACCAGAATGAATGGGATTAGAGCCTTGATAAAGGAGGCCCCAGTGAGCTCCTTTGTTGCTCAGCCATCAAGGGACATGGTAAGAAGACAGAATCTGTGAACCAGAGAGGTGAGCTCTCACCAGACACTGAATCTGCCCAGACACTGAGACTTCCCAACCTCCAGAATGAGAAGAAAGAAATTTCTGTCGTTTGTAAGCCATCCAGTCTATGGTATTTTTGTTTTAACAGCCTAAATGGACTCAGCCACAATTCCTCCTTGAAGAGCTCTGGAGGTGGCTTTCTCATTTAGCAGCTGCAGAGACTGAGCTCAGAGAGGTTAAGTAACTCGCCCGGGATCACACAGCTAGTAATCCCCAGAGCCCACCCCACAGCTGCCCCTCTGGATGTCGCGGCCACGAAGGCCAGCTTCCACCCAGGGCCCCTGACTTTGCCTTCAAGGTGCTTTGCTCTCTGCCTTGAAAGAAGATACAAAGCAGTGATTACCTGCTGAAATTCCTCATAGAGCTACCCTGAACTGAGGCCCAGAGAGGGAGGGGGCCCAGCTTTGGTCACCAGGAAGCAGGTAGAGAGGCTGGGACCAGTGCCGGGTCTCGGCTGGCTGGCCGTCTTCTCCCCTGCGACGTGGGGATGGAAGTGGGGGCGGCCTCCTGGGCGGGTGCCTGGGCACCCAGCTCATGAATATGCAGGTGCACAGAGGCAGAATGCCTCCGACACTGTCAAGTGTATTTCACAGATGGGGGAAATGTGTCCCCGAAAAGGGAGGAGTCACCTGCCAACACCAGCAGCTGAAGATGGTAAAATGGTACTTGGGTCCTGGGTTAGTGGTTCCCAAGCCCGATCAGGCACCAGAATCATCTAGAACGATTATTTCAAACACAGCTCCTGGGACCAGTCCCAAACCTGCACATTAGCACCTCTGCTGCAAGGTCTGGCATCTGCTCTGCTGCTGAGCAACCCAGGCAGCTCCAGGGTGTGGCCAGGGTCAGGGTTCATAGCACTGAGCACTCCTGAGTGTGCCTCCGGAGGGGGCTGGGCTGGGACCGACCTCTGGCCCCTGCACTGGGCTCTAGCCATGGGCAGGCGGGGTCGGGCTGGAGGGAGAGGGAGGAGAGTGTTCTCCCCTCGGGACCTGAAATAGGTGTTGGTTCAAAAACAACCTTCAGCCTTGAGTCACTCCTTCCTTTTTGTCGAGTAAATCTAGACCTAAGGGGCCGAGTGGGGGTGGGAGGGGGAATTTCATTAGGTACAACATCATTTCAACTCCGCGATCCTCTCCATTAGCTCCAAAGAAGGACAGAGGCTACATCTTATTCACTTCCGTATCCCAGCTGCTCAGCCCAGAGCCAGGTCCAGAGCAGGCACTAAATAAATGCTTCTGCAGTTGAATTCCCATTATTAGCTACACTGTGTGAGTGGTGCTTTCACAGTAGATTTTTCTGCCACCTCTTGAGTTCCTGCAGACACCAGGAGTTGCTGAGAAGGCTGTATTCCAAGTCAAAATATTCATTATGACACATGCTGTTTGCAATTTCCACACCAATTTCCACACTCCCAGTCATTACCCCATAATGTGCTTGGGGAGGAAAACAAACCGCTCTTAGAAAGACAGCCGTGCAGTCGCCAAGGTCAGAGATTGGATGCCACACTCGGTGGCCCTTCCGGGGGCACTTCTCTGTGGGCCATGACACGGAGGGATTCCAGACCTGGGAGCCCTGGCCAGTGGGTCTTCAGCCAGCTGAGATCCAGGACCCCGGGGACCACAACCTCCCAGACACGTGGTAACTGCAGTATGTTTAACTGCAATGCTGGGGACCCTTTCAGTCATCAGAGCAACATAGAGCGCCCTCTGTTTGACATTTTCCCCTGTTTATCTCATTATAAAGAATAACTGCACAGGGCAGAAGTTTGCTCCTGGTCTCATTAGCTGCCTTCTCCTAATTGCAGGTTTTAAAGCAAGCTGAAGGCAGAGCCTCTGATGGAAATTAAACCCAAAGAGAAAGAGAACAAGAGAAGGCGTGGGAGTTGGATAATTGCATGCCTGTGTCTCTAGTGGTGGGCTCAGTCAAACGGAGCAGCAGATGGGGTCTAAATTGAAGGAAAAATGGAAAAGAAGCTCAGCTCAGACCAATGGTGATCAAAGCCAGCCACGAGAGCACTTCTGGACAAGCCTCTGGCTCTCCAGCTCGTTGTTTGCTTGGTGACTTTGCCTGGTAATCGGCTCTGACATTTCCCCCTGACCCCTGACCGCACCACCTGGACCTCCTCTCTCTGCTGTTGGCTGGGGGAGGGTTCTGGCACCTGCTTCCAGGGCTGCAGGTCACTGGGCATCAGCCAGGGGACAGTTGGCCTGCACTTTCCCCCCTGCCTCTCGCACCCGCCGCACTCACTTTAATCCAGCCCCCTGCATACCTAACCCAGCCACCTGGGGGCTTTGTACTCTTACCAAGCAGGGGCTGGATTTTTGTTTTAAACCTAGAATGCTGCTGAGCGCCTCCTCCAGCAGGGGCGAGAGGACAAGTCAGGGAATCGGAGTGTCCTGCTATGGAATCCATTGATTGTCGTCTTTGTGACCTTAACCTCTCAGAACTGCTGTCAGCAAAATGATGACAATGGCCCCCAAACTGTTAGAAGGGTTACATCAGCTCTCTTTGGACAGCGCTGGCACATAGTAGGTACCCATTTATATTAGTTCCTTATTCAGCCTCCGATTTCTGAGAAATCCATCATGTTCTCTGGAGTGAAGGTCAGGCTATTTGAGGGTTTTGAAATTTCTAGCTTTTCAGGGCAGCCTCTCTGGAAGAGACAGGGTGGCTCGGTGAGAAGAGCCCCATGGGTTTGAATCTCCTGTGCCCTTGGCGGTGGCCCCCATCCTTCTGGGCCTCCCGTCTCCCCTATGGCATCTGGGATGTGCAGACACTGTCCCGGGCCTGCCCTGCTTGGCTGACAAGGCTGTCCTGAGTTCTAGGTGGTTAAGGCATGGGACCAAGCTCTGTAAACTGGGAA